CCGATAAACTTAATAAATTTTTCAAACATATGATGAATCCAACAAATCCTGTACTAACCGAATTACAATAAACAACGGACTGACCCTCAGTAACATAGTGTGAAGGTACATTATTTGGTATATTTTCATTGCAATTTTTTTTTGGTCTTACAAAAATAAACAAATTTTCGATATAATTAATAAATTTTTCAGTCTTCAATTGTACATCTTGTAAAGAGTTTTTATCAATGCTGCCTCGAGTAGGAGTTTTACAAAATTTATTGCGTACATTTAATAAGTCAAAAATATCGTTAATGTTTTTGCAAAATTCAGCTGTAGCTGAGGAATTTTGAAAATTTGGATCTTTCAAGTCAAATTGTAAAAACTGTAAAGCTGTAGAAGTACTGTTACTTAGCACTTGTGCTGCGAGAAATACTTTCATTTTTTCTCTGTAAAAATTGACATGTCTATTTCGAATTTTGCACGCACAGTGTAATTTCTCTTTTTGCTGCTTTTCATTGAGATTCTTTATATACACCCAATTAATGAAGGAACGGTCTTTGTACACTATTGGTCCTTTACAAGCAAAATAATTTCGTACCAGTTTCAAACAATAGCAGGGATCATAAAATATATAAACAGGTTCAAGAGTAATTGGATGGTCAAAAAAAGGTCGAAAATTATTTTGATCTTTATAATTTAAACGGGCTCCCAAGGATTCACAAGCTGTCCTATTAGTTCTGTCACCATCAAACGTCACACTGACAACTTTATGTTTTTCTCATGCAATTTGGTTAATAAATCTTTTAGTAAGATTGATTTTTGCAGTCCGCTTAAAGAATGTACTAAATAGTGTGCAACCGGAGCTTTAAACATACCATTAATGCACACTAACATAAAAACTAACGCTTTATTAGCTATTTTTTTTTCTCCATTTTCATTGTTTTCAGTCACTTGCCCTCCTAAGTCAACGAGACCTTTCCACGTGCCTGTGCTTTTATCCAATTCTTTGTGCTGCTTGATGTTCATTTCATCAAAAGTCACGTTAAACACCAATCGTTTTCCCTTTTTCTCTTCATTTTCGACAACTTTAGAAACATTATTTACTACATCTTCACATATCCCTGGTTTACACTTGTTTGAATATAACCAACTTCTAAGAGTTTGATCGCAAGGTAAACATTTTAAAAATGTTTTCGATACGTCCAGCAGCTACCGTACGTTTTTCATACGCCAAGAATCTAAGAAACTTATTCCAAGCCTCATCTGATACAAAATCTTCTCTGCTAATATATTCTGTTTTTGTGGAATTCATGAAGCGTATTTTCTTTGGAGGAGAATTTCCACTAACACTTGTTGATTTCCTACAATTACAAAAATTCATGTAGTTTTTTAATTTTTTATTAGATATTTTTCATCTCATTACCTTTTTCTCTTTGCATCGCAGTCTGACTTCTGTACATTACTACTCTCAAATTTTGATGATTTCTCATTCAAATAAACATCATCATGATTATGAAAATCTGTATGATCATGGCTTAAAGACTCTTTGTCCACAACAGATTCCAGATGTTCTGGAAATTCTTCGTTTAAAACTACATCTTTTACTTGTTGGACAAATGACTCTTCGTCGACAATTTTTTTTGAAACTGGTTCATTACTTGGTTCATTTTCATTTAGTACATTTTGAGATGTATTTTTATTGATATTGTAAGGTATGGCTTCAGGACGTAAACGCTTCTTTTTCCTGTTGGCATCAATCTCAAAAAAATATTTATCATCGAAGTGAATACCACACATGTACGTGTATTTCAAATTTACAGGTTTCGTTAAGTTCACTGCTTCGATCCATTTCTGTCTTAATGATTCATTTTTGGGAAACCTATTAACACAATAATAACACAACAATAACATTTTATCTATTTGCTTTTTAGGTTAAAAGATACTAATATTTAATTCTAATACTTACAAGTGAAAACTACGATTGTCGAATTGACTGTCTTCTACACTGCACACACAACACTTTCTAGGCATTTTTTAAGTTATTAATAAAGTATACAAATATTTACATTTGCAAACGGTATGGAGACTAAGTATTTGTGTATGCAAGGCACATTCTCATGCTGTTCTTCTGCTCGCTAAACCGTCTCCCCCAGTCTCCCCACTCTTACACGAAAAGACAAGGATAGATGGACCTGATTTGCAGCGCTCTCTTTCTAACCCTCTGTCGCTCCCACTTACATACGGGTACAGGACTCGCGCGCTCTGTTCTTATATCTCTATGATAAGGAGTGAATCCCAGATGCGCACATTGACAAACGGACACATCCAATCATATGTCGTTGTTTATAGAGTCTCTAGAATATCTCTAATCATACGGCGTTGTGGTTGGCTATGTCCGTTTGTCAATGTGCGCATCTGAGACGCTCCCAGCATAAGAGACTATAGTCTCCACCCCCCGTGATAGGGGGTCTGGGGGGCGAAGCCCCCCAGTTACATAGCTAGAGTTAGATGGTATGACAGATTTTCTAACCTAATACGCCCTCAAATTTGTCTATTAATGGCCGCGTTCAGTAGAACAAGTGATCAGTAAGCGCTCAGTGAGCTCTTGCATCTGATTGGAGTATAGTTGGAGATCTAAAAGAATATGCCAAATCATATACAAGAGCTCCTGACTTTAACTGTGATTGGTCAATAAAGAAAGTCGACAGTCGGATCGGTCTTTGCAGTCGGTATTCTGATACGCGGGATTAAGCCGACTCTCGACTATGACTTCCGACTCCAGTCGGTCAATTACACTTACGCATGTTTGCCAACGTTTATTGACTGATCGTATCAATGACGCCGTCTAGAAAATAATAGAGAATTCAGATTGCGTCAAACGATTGACATCCAATAGTAAAGTTTCCTTATTAGAGTTTCTAGTTAACGACATTTTTATCTTCAGAAAATCAATTCTCTTATTGGATTTCGGATTTTGTACATACGTCGAATGTTAGACACAATTGTCCATACTCTCTAGATGGCGTCACTGGTACGATCAGTCGGCAATAAACGTCGGCAGACTTCCGCAAGTGTGATTGACCGATTGGAGTCGGCAGTCATAGTCGACAGTCGGTTTAAGCCCGTGTATCAGAATACCGACTGCAAAGACCGACCCATCTGCCGACTCTCTTTATAGACCAATCACAGTTAAATGCCGACTGATCCTGTCATTGTGATTGATTTATCGGTAGTCGGGTCGGCCTTTCCAGTCGGTAATGTGATACGGACTTTGCGCAATTGGTAGTCTGATACAGACTTAATGGCTCATATTCTGAACCCTCTTTTATCGATAAAAGTGCCTTAAATATAGCTTCTCAGCCAATCAGGTAGCTCCCAAGCCTCTTTTAAAAGTTCATTTATCGTTAAAAAAAAACTCAGAATACGAGCCAATAAATCCATTTCTATTAGTTCCAAACTCTCCGCTATATGTCGCCACTTGGTTCAGTTGGAAGTGTAGTGCGATTCGAAGAGACCTTCTGCTTTCGAATACTACGCTCCACACACCAAGTAAATTCAGGAATTTCATTTATCTTCGAATCAATCGTATAATGTAATACGTACAATCGAATAATATAAATGGCAATAGGAACGCTTTTCATCTTTAAACAATGCGTTTGACTGGTAAGTCGAGGAATTTCTGTTTTTAAATGACGCGAGTCAGTAAAATATGTTAGAATAGTTAAAAGTTAGGTTAAAATTAGGTTAAAGTATTTTCTTTTTTTAAGTATACTACTGAGCGGCGAATATAAAAACGTTTTGATTTTTATGTAATATATATAAATCTTAAACTATAAAAGAACAACACGAACTTTTATTTTCCAATAATACGACCATCTGCAAATAGTAATAGATCTCCGTCTCTTTTTACTAAGGAAAAATTAGAGTCCGCCTTTAAATTATAGCCGTAAACAGACAAAAATTCATGTGCGACAGCTTTAGGGCAAAATAAACACAGGTATCTTATATCTTTTGTATTTTGTTTTTTTCTTTTTGCAATGTTTTTTTGTTAAACGTACCAAACTTATGCGATTGTCCAAAACTTTGTCCAAAACTTATGCGATTTGCGACAAGTAGGATCTCTCTCTCTCTCTCTGCTAATATACAAGGATAAAATTTCAATAAACTCTAACTATAGTAATATATAATGATATCTAGCGTGTAATGAAAAGCTCGATACGACGAGTAATGCAGATAAATAATGTTCTTTCGAGATAACACAAGAATTTTCTTTAAGAAGTCGAATAAAGTTATTCAACAATAAAAAGATAATGTCGAATTTTTTTCTTACAGTAATAAAATAATTCTCATATATATATATCGAACTTTTTTCTTACAGTGATAAAATAATTCTCCTGTATATATATATATATATATATATATATATATATATATATATATATATATATATATATATATATATATATATATATCATTATACAAGTATGATAATAATTATATAATAATAATGATTCAGTATTAATATTAACATATATATACATATATTTTTATATATTTATATAAAATAAAATGTCTGTATGTTCCCTATTAACTTTTAAATCCTTTGACCGATCTAGATTAAATTTTGCATAGTTACTTTCTATGATATTGTAGAAAATATAGGCTAACATAAAATCTGAACGTGCCTTTCCCTCTACTTAATTTCATCTCCTTAACAATTTGTACTAGTTTAAGTTTAAATATTCTAGATGTAAAAAGACCGGGCAATCATTTGCTGAAGTTCGAACATTTGGAATATTTTCTACGATAACAATAATCGTTCTTTTTTTTAGCTACTCTATCATTACGTCGCGAAACTCCAGGCATCAGTAATTTTCGCAAGATTAAAACTCATGTATTCTCTTCGCAATCGCTCCGTTCAACAAGTTTCTTCGCGCATTCACGCTTAGCTTGCTCTTAACAAAGTAACATCTCGCGATGAATATTTATTTATCCCATACTCACACATAATCGCGCGAAATTTTCAGTATATCGTCCGAGCGTGCTGTTTTAAATAGAAATACTCGGATCGTAGATTCTCATATAGCTTAAAGTAATCCAATTGCGAATTATTTATGCCGTCAGCGAGGCTCATGCGGCTCTTTTCTCTATCGTCATGATCGTCGTCCGGCCTATGCCAGGATGATCGCACACAATGATGAGCGTTGATATGTATTGTTGCTCCTCAATGCGCACCCTTAACTAAATACCTATCAAGCAGTCACGCCCCTCAAGGCACCCTCGTGCGCTCCGTTGTAAGCGTGAAATCGTCGAAAGGACCGTAAAGTCGCAAAAACGAGGACATGCGAGTAGAAATCGGGCCCACATAGTGGACGAACCTGGCTAGGGCCGGATTAAAAATCGCTGTTGAGTCGTGTAAGCACAAGAGGAAACTTTTTGCGAACGAGAAATCGAAAAATCAGACTGATAAGAAGAAAACATAAAATAATAAAAAGTACACAAGACGAATAAGGAGAAAAATGAAAAAAAATGCAAGAAATAGGGGAAATAATAAGAATTCACGTTGTTACTAACATTATTTAATAACGAATAGTACACTTTCTGAGAGAAAAAAATCTAAAAAATAGAAAAATATTTATTCTGTGAGTACTAATAATGTATTTACTACAATTTAAATTCTTTTACTTAAATAGGATAAACAATCGCTTTCATGGAAACGCTAAGCGCTTCTAAGAAAATTATATTCTTATTAGAAAAATATTTTATATTGGTATCTCATACATACACAATAAATATATTATTAATGCCTCTTATTTCTTAAATATTTTTTATCTCAGTGTGTAATAATGAAAGTTCAGTAACGAGAAATTGAACGTATATATGTGTGGGTGTTTACGTGTGTTTACTTAAGTATATGAAAAGGCTTTCGAGAGTTGAGTGTGGGATCGGACCGGCGTTGCATTTTTCTGAAAAGCCTCTCCTCTCTCAAGGAGATATGCGCGGAATTGTGCTCTCGCTTCCTACTGGAATCTCGATCCTCTCTCTTTCACGAGACGACAGGTACTGACTCAATCGGGAAAGGGTTGGTGGGAGCAGCTTGAGCCTTCGCTAATCCGCGGCTTACACGGGCTTGAGTGTAAATATTGATTCCAATCTGCAACGTCCCTGTGACAATAGGACCCTCGCGCTGGGCCCGTCGAGCGCTGGCCTCTGTCAAAACAGTCATTAACCGCACTTTGCAATAAACGATTTCGTGGTCGTGGTCGCGCGTCGTGTCTCGTCACTCTCCGTCGTAGTATCTGTCAAAATCTCACGGAGGGGACGTCGCGAAGGCACGAGCTGGCATGAAAATTCGCTTCCAAAATCGCGCTACAAGAGATATCCGCAAGCAATCGATCGAATAATCGACCGAACGATCGGTTAGTGTTATACTGTATTATATCGCGTTATATTGTCCCAATTAGTGACATTATCCCACTTTGTGTGACGATCATGTCAATATTAATATTGTAACTTACTGTTCCAGAATTTGATAAATGGTACAAACGGTACGAGTCAAAGTTACAACACTGAGGTGAAAATTATCTTAAATATTTCTTTGATAGGTGCCATTAACATATTTATTTAAATCTAAATTTTCTTTATTTAAACCAAATATTGTTTACTTAAATTAGGTAATATTTGGTTTAAATAAAGAGAATTTAGATTTAAGTAAATATGTTAATGGTATCCATAAAAAAAATATTTATTGATTTTAAGATAATTTTTCCCTTAGTGAAGTCAATGTACAACAATTGACGTAAGCCGTATTGACTACATCGCTTGTGATTTGCACGTGGTTGCAGTAATTGCTTCTACCTAAGTTGTGATTTTCTCATCGTTTATGAGTGATGTATTTGCATGATATATTATTTATTTATTTATTTACGGGAATACATCTCCTTTTGTATAAAAAATTAGATAAGATTGACGTATTAGAATTAAGTTTAAGATGAAAAACGGCTGTCTTAGAAGAAATATTCCAAAAAAAAGATATGAGAAATGTAGAGAAGTAAAGAGAAAGTTAATAACACACTGTTAATCAAGCGGATGAACAATAGCAGACAAAACAAAATGCTTGAAAAACAGTTTACCGACCTCGAAAAGAAATCCCACAATT